GGGTCCAATATTTAGTCGAAATTTGCTGTTTAATTTAAATTTGTGAGAAACCTTTTATAAGTCATCATTTATATTCACATTTAGCTTAAATGTGACTGACATTGAGATATTTAAGAATAGCTATTTCGTTTTTGCTTTGTCTATTATTTGTGGAGTAATAAAACATTCGAATTCAATAACATTAAATAAAATGGCCACTCTTTCAACGTCAAAGCATCGTTTCTTCAAACAAGGCCGAGTAATTCGCGACGGCGGTATATGTGACACACTATCCCAGTTACCCCTCGACTAGTCATCAAGCTGGAGTGGTGTCAAGTGGCCATTTAAGTATGAAAGTGGTTCCGAGTACTTTTACGTGTCATTTCTGATGTATCTGTCGTAAACTACGTTGATACTGTTAAAAAAACAGTATATATTTCTAAAAATTATCTGTTATTGCTACTTCGAGTTACAAATTGACGATAAAAATTACTCCATGACGACTTTTGGATAGTAACACTTCTCCGGTATTTTTTAAATATTCAATTTTTGTACCTTTCCAGTAATCCCCCTCGCTAAATTTACCCGGCTACGTTTCAATATAACAAACGAGAATATCGGTCAAAGACCGAAGACTATTCGATCGAAAGTTAGGGGATCCCCCAAAACAGCGCTCTTACTCCTTAGTGATACCTTGTGTCCCATTACTAATTAATTAATGACTCGCTAATTATACGACATAATTTGCACAAAATCAATAGGCTTCTGGTCCGAGATAAGATAAATGCACATGCAAAATCTGAAGCAGATTCAATCTCGCTTTCGTGAGATATCGCGTACATCTAACAGACATACAGACAACCGTACATACATACAGACAGACAGACAAATACCTATCAACATACTTACCGATTGAAATCGATAAGTAATAAGTAGTCTTCCAGTTGATTTTAGAGTTGGGAATGATTTGAGAATTGAATCTTCAGCCCAATCTACATTTCTTACCCAAGCCTAACTAAGTATTCATATAATAGTGAGGGATGACTGCAAAAGGTTCGAATTTTTTTACCCGAAAATTTAATATTTAAGTAAAATAGACTTTAAAAGTTCTTAAATCGTATATGTCGCTTTAAAAAGTCGATTCGACTTGAACGGCAAACTTTGTAACCTTCTGTTTGTACGTTTCGCAAACACAACTCTTACAGCGTCAGATATTTTTCACCATACGAGATTCGAAAAAGTTACTAAAGTACTAAACCAACAATGTCTGACAGTATATCATACAGGTATTGTTACATGATAATAGCTGGTAAATCTGTCTATCCCGCGCGGGTATTTGTATTGTTGCAACACAATACCCTCGAAGTGAAGACGCGCCAAAGCAACAAATAATAGTTGTTTTTCCAATTTTCTTGTTAATAGTTTGAAGAGGCGCTTGCGTTTTAGACAGGTGTAATTTGTAGACTACACTACGCTAAACCACACAGATCTATTCTATATATGAGTTATCACTATAGCATTCAATAGCGTGATCACTTGCCTCTGTATATAGTTCTTTTAGATTTAAGAGGCGCGCTGGTTTCGTGCAGCTGTATTAGTGTTAGTATTTAGGATAAATTATGGTAATTCGCAGTCGCAAAGCGTAGGCTACTGCTTCACATCATTTGACTTCAACGTCCTTATAGCTGAGCATTTCTTACTTGTTTCATTGCAGAATTCAGTCTTGACATCTTGAGCCAGAAACAAGCTTCTACCGCTTCCAATATTATTGTAAACTGGCTAAGATACACCTTCCAGGCGAGAACCAGAACTAACAATAACACAGGTTATTATTGTTATTGTTAGAAAGCTGTACACGCAATGTGTTCGATGGTTGTAGATAGAAAAAATAGGAGGTGAGGGTGTGTGCGTGCGTCAGATCATATATTGCGTTTTTTTGGGAGGGCTAAAACTAACAATAACATAGGTTATTATTATTTTTGTTGGCAACCACATTCTGCGCAAAGTTTTCGAGGGCTGTAGAAATGGGTGTTGTTTTCCCTTTTGTTTTGAGTGTTATTACTGCTTTGATTGGTCCCACCAAAGCACGTAATTGTTGTTTGCCCTGTTTTGACTGGGATCATGCAATGAAAGGTCGACTTTTCGTTTCTAGGAGAAGCGTTTGTTTATGTTTTTAAGTTTTCAAGATGATTATCATCTGTTTGATTAAAAATAAATTCGCAGTCGAAACTCGCGATTTTTAGCGTATTTGATGATGTGTTAAAGTGTTCAAGGACAAATAGAGAAAGCTTCGACATAATTTCATAAATGTTTCACGCTCAGCAGCGTATAGATGGTGAGGTTCAACTTGTCTGCTAGAGTACTTGTTTATTACAAGATGCTATTTTGCCGGGAACGGTCATCAACTACTATCTTTCATTGTTACTTTAACCAGTGTAAAATGTCACACATCCTATTTTAGCTTTGTAAAATCTACTTCGGATATTTATTAGGCGTTCTTGTGATTTCACTACGAACAAGGGTCTGTACGAGCGTACATTGACTATGCAAAAAAGCTGATATTTTCGGAAGGAGTATAATCTTTCAGGTCCGGTATTATCTGTTTGATTTATTACGGTACCGTTCCCTACGTGTCGCGCCTGAAGTATATAACGGCTGAAACTCGTTGACTGTTTCTAATTGTCTGTTGGAATATTTGTTTACTGCGAAGTGGTTGCTTACCACGAGGTGCTAGTTTTTCGACAACGGCCATAAGCTATTATAAAATGTCACACATCCTATTCGATTCCAACTTTGTAAAATCTGCGTCGGATGTTAAGCAGCCGTCCTCACGCTTTTACAAACAAGACTCGTTATGAGCGCTCACTGGTTACGCGAGGAGGTATTTATTATTCTTAGGAAGACAAGATACTCATCGGTTCCGTATTTCCTACTCGATTTATTACGATACGGTTTGCAACGTCACGCGCTTGGCAGAGTATAAAAACTCCAAATTCTTTGACTGTTTCTACTTGTCTGTTGGAGTACTTGTTTACTACGAGGTGTTATTTTGTCGAGAACGGTCATCAACTAACATTTTTCATTTTGGCGTTAAATGTCGAGGGGAGCGTTGAATTTGTATCGATGGAAGGAAATCTACGGGGGAGGTATTTTCACAGGTGGAGCATATTAAATAGGATCAGTTTGAAACAATAATCTCTTTAATGAAAGTTAAATTCCGATTGGGCCAGGGTTTCTTGCCATCGTGTGCAAAACTTTCCTGTTCCGTACGCGGCAAGATATTGAAATGATAAAAATAGATCGCGAACGGTTTACTCGACTAACGGAACTACTCGATTTATCACGATACGGTTCCCAACGTCCCGTGCTCGGCAAGATCTAAAATGGCAAAAGTCTTCATGCTTGTCTGTTGAAGTACTTGCTTACTGTATTGATGGAAGGAAATTTCATGAGAAACTGTTTGATTGGGAATTTTTCCAGGTGTTTTTTTTTAAATACTATTCCCACATATGTTCTCTAGTGACGTACGCTTTCAAACTTGAGGAAGTTTGATATTTTTCGAAAAAAAAACAGAATAGAATTTTACATATTTATCCAGGGGGAGAAGAAAGCCGACAAGACGACCAAATCATATGGCTAACCACCTCTCGTCCATTTCATATATAGAAATAGTAAACTCTTCTGGAATAGTAAGAATGGTTTTGTGTTTCTCTAGTTGAAATATGATTGTCTAAAGAATTATGAATTCTGTCACACAAAACGTTACAGATTTTGTGTTAGTGTAAGATGATACTATTGAATCACATAGAATTGTCATTCTTGCTACAACTTCCTTCATTTAAAAGTCTAGGTAGTTAGTCCCGTAGAAATATGTTCATGTTAGTGTGCAGCAGGATTTTTATAGAATAGTCGGTGCTCCAGAAGTGTGTGTACCAATAGAGAGGTAACTAATTTTGAGCAGAAGTAGGTTAACGATGATGTGACAAATGCAATTTGTGCAACCGTCTGGGAACGTTATTTTGCGCATAAAAATTTCCAAGCAGTACTACAGTAATAAAAATGGTTCGAAGACTTTGGTTCGAAGTTAGGGTAACCCCCAAAATAGCGCTCTTACTCCAACCTTACCTTGTGTTCCATCACTAATCAATTTATAACTCGCTAATTATACGACATAATTCATCCAAAATCAATAGGCTTCTGGTACGACATATGATGAATGCACATGCAAAATCTGGAGCAGATTCAATTTCGTTTTCATGAGATATTGTGTGCATCTAACAGACAGACAAATACCTATCAACATACTTACCGATTAAAATCGATAAGTAATAATATTAAGAAGAACAATGTGACAATCGGGGTCATCATGACGTTATTTTATTCGATATTTTAAACGGAATTTATATCCATAAAAAACTTTGATCGTAATTTCATCAGACGTAAGTGGGCTGGATGAAATACTTCGGTGGGATCTGGCCCGCGGGCCGTAATTTGTCTACCCTTGGATTAGTCCTTCCATTTCACATCGTTTTTTTATCGTAAAATCGAGTCAGCATCAATCACAATTACCCAAATATCCAAGTGAATTTTACCCATTTGCGTTGTTTGTATTCAGTTATACTTGAATAGACGGTGCTCCAGAAGTGTGTGTACCAATATAGAAGTAACTAATTTTGTTAGCCTACTTTATATCAAGTTGTGTAAAGGAAGGGAAACCTCTGGACAGATGGTATATTCCCTTGGCTAACAAAAACAGTCCCCGAACTTGTAATAGAACTAAAATGAGGAAAATCGGAACAAACTTATGGCCTAATCCTAACCTGGTACACACACTACGGGAGTGCCGAATAGTCATCTTCAATCTTGTTACTGCATCTTTAATTAAAAATATGCATACCGATTCACTGACACAAAAGCACAGAATAGTAGTAAAGCTCAACTCCAACTGATGGTTACTTCTGAGTCATATTATCATAATAATGATTTGATAAATACAAAATCCTGTTATATATTACAGTTTATGCAATCATTGTAAAATATATGCACTTGAATAATAATAAGAAGCAAACTACTCAACCATGACGCTTGACGTCATAACAAGATCGCACCAACCGTCCAATCGGCTGAGAATTATTGGAAACGACGATGACGTCATTGGTGAGGTTTATTTGTGCTTTGTGAAGAATGAATTTATGCTTCCGCTAAGAACTCGTCTCAAGACAAGCATCTACTTAGGGTCTCAGATATGCTGATTTTCACTCATTGAACAAGTAGTACTTAATTCTTGCTCCTGTTGTTGCTGTGTTTAAGATAGCTTTTTCGATGACTAATGCATCAGTCAATAGTCGCTAGTCCAAGTTTTTTTTAGACATTCGGCAAAATTCTGTTAAAACCTCGTATCACATTCAGAGGAATTATCTCAACATTTGGGTAAAATTGTCGTCGCCATATTTGTCATTTGAACTCCGTTTCGATATACTTAGCATTACTTTCTTGGTATAATAAATTATAAAACATCTAAATACTGTCTAATGCTTACATACAATGCAATATAATTTCAGAACGCGAAAAAGAACTTCGTCTTCCGCTTCACAAGAGATTAGAATTCGTAGCTGGCTTCGATATTCATCAACTTGTCAGAGGTTTGTGTTCTTATTAAATGTTTTCTATTGATATTGTCGTATTTTCCGACTCCGTGGATTTGAGAGAGTGTCCATAGGAAAAGTCCCACGGTGTAAGGTGGAATAAGACAGGCATGCGGAGCTATAATGCCACTTTTCACTTTGCAAGAAAACTCTCCGTTCTTCCTATAAGATTATTTCATTGGGTGTTTCACTTTGCGTTGCATGAATTGTTTGAACATAATGAGATTTGGTATCAAGATAACACTAAATACTACTATAATGATAAACAGGCATCGGGGGGGGGGGGGGGGTTCATATGAGTGCTAGAAGCCCCCGGGAGGACCACGAGTCATAAAAGGTTGAAAACCACTACGCTATGGGGTGGGACAGAAAACTATGACTTATGGCAGTATGGACAACCCTGTGAAGGTAATTTAAAAACCTTAAGAGTGGTAATTATTGACTTCCAGGAATACAAATTTTTGTATTTTCTTGGATTCGGACTTTCTGTTTATAATTGTAATAATTCGAAGTCAGAACTTTCGAAAGACTATTACAGAAGGCTTGCATACCACAAACCAACTTTCGGTTTTCATTAATTAGTTAAAATTGGATTTCTCCCGTTCAAAATTTCCTCCTACCTGTCACTAGTAGTTTGGTGTAAATTTCCCAACTCCACAGCCAGGTTTACGTTTTGGAGCAAGAAGTCTAAATTTTTGTCAAACAGATTTGGAGTTGTTTCTTAATAAATTGACATTCCGGTGCCAAATTTTCATGACTCCGTCCACATCATTTTTTATCATTAACGCTCTGAGTTCTCATTCATAGATGCGCGTCAACACAGACACACCTTGCATACAAGGGATGGCTTTTATTTGTCGACATCGCCGTCCGAACTGGCAACTCTGTTCCAGCGATCTCCGACGAGAGGAGCATTGCGATCTTCTACTCGGGCTTCAATAAAATCAGCAAAACGGCTTATGACATCAGCAAAATCGTCACAAAATTCTACTACATCATCATCGAAGCAATCTGCGAATACGAATACATCAAGTTCGGGTTCGAATCAAACTTTACCTTCGAGTCCAGACATGTAAGTACCGTTTCTGCTTGTAAATTCAATATGAGCGCGGTGGCCCAGCGGCGTTGGATTTAATGATATATTTTGGCATCGCACATTTCACTTCTCTCTTTCAAATCACATGCCCACCACCTAACCCATTTCAACATATTATTTTTAATGCAATTTTGTGGCATCTGCAGCGATAAAGTCTTACGCATTTTTCAGCACTATTTTATCACTTAACGATTTTAAGGTATTTGTCTGTCTGTCTGTTTGTCTGCTAGATGCACGCGATATCTCACGAAAGCATGTGCATTCATCTTATCTCGGACCAGAACCCTATCGATTTTGGGCGGATTATGTCGTATAGTTAGCGAGTTATTAATTAATTAGTGATGGGACACAAGGTGTCACTATGGAGTAAGAGCGCTGTTTTGGGATACCCTAACTTCCGATCGATAAGTCTTCGGTCTCTGACCGATATTCTCGTTCTATTCTTGCACGATTTATTGAAAACTGGCTTTTCCTGGCTTGGTATTAATAATCCTTTCACCAAATGAGCCAACCGAAGTAGATGAAATTGGAGAGATGAATCTGTAAAGCGATTCTTTAAGATATTGCTGGACGTGTCCGAAAAATTCGCCTTAGGAAATTTCGCCGCATAGGAAAAATCGCAAGAAAAACGTGTCAAAACTAAATATATTTCAATCTAATCGCAGCTGGCTGGCCAGATTGAATAACTCAACGGCTGGATTTGGCCCCCATAGTTTTTACACGTCCGCACAATAATGATTGCATAAATTCATATTACAAAAATACTAATTAATATTGGTAAAACCCTATCATCTACAAAGTAATACTCCTTTATTTTCTTCCTGAAAACAACCAAATTCCTGCCCGTCTGGGAGACGCTGTAGTTTTATTCTATTTTTTTTTGTTCAGAAACAGCGACCTGCTTCGTTTCGATTACATTCACGGAGCAAATGTTACGTTATCTTGTGATAGATATACTGCTACGAGACGTCATAATAGCTTTTGTGACGGAATAGTACTGGGACATCGACCAATCAAAGTCGGGGAACGAATTCATTTCAGATTTAACAAGGTCAGGATAATGACCTTTGAGTATTTTGCCAAGTATACTTCCTTGTTTATTTCCCTAACGATGACCAATGAGCAATCAGAAGAAGTTAACGATGATATGACAAATAAAACTTATACAACCGTTCAGAAAAGTTTTTGTACATACATATTTAAGCAGTACTACAGTAATAAAAAGTAGTTCGTAAAACGCTCAGATAAATTGGGCCAAAATTAAACAGTAATTTTAGTCACCCTGGGCAAGGAGTCGGATATAGAGTTGGGAACAGTATGACACCAACAGTTGAATCCAACTCTTTTGCCGTGGTTTCTCAAGAATGAGTCCAGGGGTGGGCAGTTACTTTTTTGAGTGGGCCAGTTACATACAATAGACTTGGTTACTGGGCCAACGTCTCAGAACTCAATAAAAAAAAAAAATATGAATAAAAAACAGTGTATTTACAACAGTTAGGCCAACGTAAAAATAATATTAAGAATCATAATGTAACAATTGGGATCATTATGACGTTATTTTCATCGATATTTTCAACGGAAATTTATATCCGTGAAAACTATGGCCGTGATTTAAGTAGACACAAGTGGAACGGACGAAACATTTCGGCGTGCCGGATCCGGCCCGCGGGCCCTAATCTGCCCACCCTCGGATTAGTCCAATCTTGTCACAATCTTTTTTTATCGTAAAATCCAGTCAGCATCAATCACAATTACCCGAATATTCAAGTGAATTTTACGCATTTGCGTTGTTTGTATTCAGTTATACTCAAAAAACGATAGTCTAGGATTACATCAGTCGAGTAGTTTTTACTGACATCGCCCTGTGTATAATCTTTATAGCATGGCCCGATGATGTACAACCCTTTGTTCAAATATTATCCGGCAGAACGTGTCTAATACAATAGACTGGACGTTCCAAAACCACGCACCGCGACACGCTTTTGTGTCACGAAAGACCTCAAAGATACCAAAAATATAACGATTCAATATAAAGTAAATGTATTTGAGCTTTCGTTTTTTAAGCTGTTAATTTATTTTACTCAATTCTCCCACACCGTTTAGCATGTACAACAGCAAAACTGTGCAGGCTTTTGCAAAATGAAAATGAGAAAATTCTGTATAGTCGGTGTGGTTATTTCTTGGTATTTGAGTGGACTTCTGAGTGAACATGATATTTATTTGGGCATATTTTCTTCTAAAAATCATGACTGCGGACAGTGCGATTGCTTCCGCCAATTAGGTTTAATGACACATAAGATTTACGTATTTATATAGGATATGTAATGCCATATGTTATATAGCTGGGCTACTCAACTGGCGGACCGCGGTCCGAATCCGGATCTTCCGAGTATTTGATTCGGACCGCACATCAATCTTTATTTTGGATCATTAGCCTAATTTTTAAAGTTTCCTGTTTTAAAAATGACTTCTATAACTTTGAATATATATGAAAAAAAACTATAACACCCTAATAAACAATCTTGATTAGCTAATAATTATTAGCCGGTCGAGGAAGTGTGTGTTTAAGAGTTGCCGAAATATAATTTTTGGAAAGACCGGACCCAAATAATTTTGAAGTTTTGTATGCGGACCTTCGGTAAAAATAGTTGAGTAGCCCTGTTATATAGGATAGGATAGGATTTACATATTTATCTCTGGGGAGAGGATGAAAGATAAGGCGGCGTAAACATATGGCGAACCACGTCCCTCGTCAAGTTATCAATCCAATCGGGTATGGGATTACTTAGCAAGTTATTGTTTTCGGAAGCATGGAAAGGTTCATTGCTTCATATCTACATGGAATTGCGTCATAAAAATAGGTAAATAAAAGAAAATATTATCTTACAGGTTCGAAGAGATTGGCGAGGTGGATTTCGTCTTGGTTTCACTACACAAAACCCTTCTACATTATCAACAAACACTTTACCAAGTTATGCAGTTCCAGACCTTTCGCGGAAATCCAGATTCTGGGCAGTTCCCGTGCCTGACAAATATGTAGCGAAGAATAATCTGTTTTCTGTTCTTCTACAGCGTGAGCAACACTTTATTTTTTTATATTTGAGGTTTTTGTGTCAAATCATCGATACTTTGAATTAAAACAATAAATAGTTAGATATATGCTTAATTATACTTGAGCAAAAGATTGTTGTTATTATATGGAATAAAATGATAGATGGATTCTTTTAAAAATTGCAGTATTCTGCGTGTGGAACTAAAACGTTTTCAATTGAAGCCACTACAGATTCAGATTCAGATATTTTATTTCGTCGTGCATGAAACATTGTCAACAAATAATAATAAATTTAAATAAATCAAAAATACACAATGTTTCGCAATTGACGAGGAGTCGCGAAAGACTATTAAGTCATCGTGTCAGCGACACCTATATGCTGGATTACAGCAACAGATATAGCAAAAGACTTGGGTTTATCACGTACAATACGGTACTAAAAAGCATAGAAACAACAACAACGGATGATAAATAAAATACGGAAATATGAAGAGCCATGAGGACTTTAATTAAGGAAACCGGTACCGCTTGACGAGCGCAAGGGCGCCATCAAGCGAATGCGATACAAATTTTCTGATAAATGTTATCCTATTATTCTATTCCTCTTGGATCAGCTCAGAGTTTCTTACGGCTGGTATTTCAAGTTGAAACAGTAGATTTGGTTTTATCTCGTAGGCATAGCCAGAATTTTTTTTTTGTTTCAAGATTTCTTTCTGAAGATTTTGCGGCATTTTCAGTTAGACGCAAAATCGTACGTTTTTTCAACTATGTTTTGCTCTATTCATGAACGATCCACTGACAACCTAACAGTTTTTGCCATACTATCAATCTTAACTCCAACGATCAAGCGAAATAGATGAAATCGCGAACTTGTAACTAAATATAAACAAAAAAACGTTTACAGGTGACGGTCGTGTTCTCTACTTTATAAACAACGAAAACAAAGGAACATTCTTGAAGGGTGTGAACTACAAGAAGCGTCAATGGCCGGTGATGGATTTATACGGGCGAGTCATACAGATTACAATTGTTGACGACGAAACAGCTGCGCAAGGAAATGCAAGTTTTTCAACAAATGACTCTGATGGTAGGTCTCTCTCTCTCTCTCTTTGAACATAAGCTTCATATTTGAAATTTAAATCTCGCTTGTATTCGTATGTCTCCAACGCTTAACATTTGTGATTTGACTATCGCATGTCTCCCTGATAGATTATTTCTTTCATACTAAATTCTAACGCAAAAATAATAAGAAAATATTTTAATTTTTTAATTAGAGACAAACATATTCCGATATCTCGTTCCAATTTCCGCTGATTTATTTCATCCCCGAGCACACTTACGTATGACATTCGATATAATTCATTTTGAATTTTGTATTGGATTTCTTGGACATTGCAGAGCTATATTAATCTTTTGAGGCAGTGATTCAAACCAAAGTTGTGCGGAACAGTTCATATATAATTATAGGGTACTTCTGGAGTATGCGCACCAAGATGTCGCACAACCTGAACCCTAACCTGGTACACAACCTGACTTCAGGTTGTGCGCCATCTTGGTGCGCATACTTCAGGAGGTTCAATTATAGTATAGTATTCAAATAACCAAAGACGATGAAACTATTGCGCAGGAGTTTATCGAGATTTTGGAATGTTTCATTCGTGTCCCCCTCCATCGAAAATGTCAAAAAACACTGCATTAGACTTTCGTATAAATTTATTTATGATTTGCATTTTTGTTTCAGACGAAGACGGAGGGCACGGAACCACGGCCGAAATTCAAGATGCCAGATCTTGTGGTTTTCACGAAACATGCGGGAGAAATATCAGGTAATAAGGAAGAAAAATTTACAATTCACTTCATTTATACACGGCATTTTCACGCCATTTACCCCGAACAAGGCACTGTATGAGCAGTCACTGATACGTACGCTGCTACTGTCGGAATTTTTCTTATAGGTATGATTATTAGCGTTATTGCACCTAAGGTGAGGCGATCCCAACACTCTAACCCTGACATGGGCAAACTACGTCCTGCGCACCAAATCCGGCCCGTTGGGTAATTCAATTTGGCCCGCCTGATGCTGCCTCAACCAAACTAAAACCAAATAATGACGTTTCAGCTAAAATAACCTAAGAAATTTGTTGGAATTGCAATTTTATTTAGTTTCGGCACAAGGCTTATTGTTTTTCACTTTTACTTTTGTACCACTATAAATATTGTTCACCAAATGTTACTTTTACGTCACACTTACATGGCCCGCCAGTCTAGATGGGCAAATTTTCTGGCCCCAGATCCGATAACCTTGCTCACCCCTGCTTTAACCTTTAGGTAATTTAAGCAGCATTATTGCAAGTAAGTAGTGGGGAGCGTTAGGCTCGTTGAAGTTTTAGGGTTTGGATCGCGTGACACTCAGGGTGTAATAAATTGCGTAGCTAATGCTGTACAACTGGAAAAATTTCCGAATGTACCATTAAATAGGTTTCCTGGCTTCTTTTACAAAGAGTTATTAGGAGCGAAAACGTAGTATAAAAGAACTAAGTAAGAAGTATGCGACCGTTTCTTTTTTCACAAAGAGCAATACACAATTATATTTCCAGTATTTTCATTATCCGTGTGGAATGTTTATTTCGTTTTATACTTCGATAGGATGGATGCCAGAAGATGCATCGCCAAGAGAGTCGATTCGTTTTGGAATTCATTAACATTCCTGTCTGAATCATTGAGACCTCATGACGTCATCTACGTTGAGATTGCAAAGGCAAACACAAATTATGCAGGTGAGTGTTTTATGGTTAATTAGAGCGGAGTTGTATTTTCGGCTCGACATGGGCTAGCTACCCAACAAGGGTCGTGATTTGATCTTATCGATTTTCCTCTCCCACATGATAAATATGAAAAAATAAAATATATATATCATTGTTTGTGACTGTTTTTGTCAAGTTGCAACTTGCAACACCCTCTTTTCAATCGTCCTATCGTCGTCTATGCGCAAAATAAAAATTTCATTTCGAAATTGAATGTTAATGAGATCAAATTTTCTTCCAATGGTCAGACTGTGTGTACGCACAATTTGTATGGAAGTTAAACTAGCCAATCTGATAAATAGATACAGGGATTATTTTGGCAAATGTATTTCTCTCATCATTGTTGTAAACTGCCTGTTTTAAGAAGACTGGTTTGGCACAATTTGTATGATGGCAATAAAAACCTAATAATTTAATTAAACCTGATTAAAATAACAGGAGCGCTCGGGGTCGGCGTAACAAATGTGAATCCTGCTTCAATAAATATACACGAACTTCCGGACAACGCTGATCTGCTTACGAAAAATACGTCACAATACTGGAATATGTCACGTGACGTTGAAACCTGTGAAGGTACAATTTAAATTTTTTGATTGATTGCCATGGTTTGTTCATCTTACTAAGCGTTTATGGTACTTCCGTAGTATGTGTACCAGGTTAGGGTTAGGCCATAATTTTATTCAGAGAATTTTCTTATTTTAGTTGTAATATGAGTTCGGGGACTGTTGTGTTAGCCAATTGAGTATACCCCCTGCCCATAAGGAATTGCCTTATCACAACTTGATGTTAAGTAGGCGAACAAAATTAGTTACCTTCATATTGGTGCACACATTTCTGAAGCGCCCTAAAGCAATAGCAATATAAAAAAAACGATCAATAGGTACACTTTGTGTCTCACGAATAATTATATTTATTTCCAGGTGATCAGCTGGGCTTTGAAATGAATACTGACGGCCGAATAACGTGCAGTAAAAATGGCGAATGTGCCATTTCTCACTTAAATGCTGACCTCAGCAGAAAACCTTTATGGCTAGCATTTGATGTGTATGGCAGCACTACAACAATAAGACTAATGGGTAAGACTATGGCGTTAATCGGCCAGTTAGGCGTTGGTCTTAGATATGTTGGCGTTACTTGTTAATAAAGATATAAAGTACCTACTTACCGTGTTTCCCCAAAAATAAGTGTCTTATTTCAATTTTCTTTTGAAAAATAGTCCGGCTTATTTGGGGGGCTCAAAAAATGAAATTGCAAAGTAGAGAATTGCGAGACTTTCAAATATACAAAATAATAAAATTGATATTCATATACTTATTTATAAATTATAACACGTTTTTATTTAAATAAAATAAATGCTAAGAATAGATTATTAATCCTTCAAAACGAGATTTCTTGCTAGCGACTACTTATTTTAAAGAAAAGGGCTTATATTAAAATCATTTTTACATTTCAGGCTAAGTCTTATTTCCAGGCTAGATTTTATTTTCGGGGAAATACGACAGCTTGTGCAAAGTGAACAACGCATGTCCTAATTAAGATAACCAACAACCAAAATTTTTGTGTGTGCAACCACTAAAAAGTCTATGTTAAATGAAGATGCGACCCGCGGTTTCACCCAGTTACTTGTATCTGGCCCTCCTGTATTAAAGGTCGCACAGCCTTGATCTAAAGTCCCTTTGCTAAACTTGGACTAACTCTTTTCCCAGGAATCATACGCGCCTATGATCCATCGATTCCACCACATGAGCAAGAGAGGCGATATACACTAAACATAGATGACGTCATAGCTTCTGATGACGACACAGAATGTATGATGTGCTTCAAGAAAGATCGACAGAGAAACTGCGCCATTCAACCATGCGGTCACGTGACTCTGTGCTCCTGGTGCGCCATCACTTGCATGGTTAAACAATCGCTCAGGTATTTCCGATTATTTCAATTATTATTTTCATTTTAGGAGCCATGTTCACTACACGACGTAAGCACTTCTAGTTGTCGTGGCATAGCCATTTTCGCACATGTTATTCCTAACCACTACCTGACTACGTCCGTTAAACTACTCCACTACAACGTCACAGTAACGTTATAAGACCCTACGAAGACTGGTGGGGGCGATACGACCATACGGTCACCTAGGTCGACTTCCTAAATCCGCATTTCTCGACACCTGTCATTTCGATACGTATCACAGAAAGTTTAATGTTGATTTCATTTTTTTTTTACTGAAGTGACGAATAAGATACCTCTGACTCTGACAAAAACAGACAACCCAATAAAATAGACCAAATTATTTCAATTTTACATTACCTATACCTAAAGATGTCGCTAGAGAGCTATTGCATAATATTTTTAATTCTCATTTGAGTATCGTATCAATATTTTACAACGAATTTCGTTGGTTTTTATAATTCACTGGCCCACTTTCATATGGCGTTCATATGGCGATGTATTAAGGGGAAAATCACCAGTTTTCTGTCTGATGTTCAGATTCATCGTTTGCCCGATATGTGGAGGACCGGTTCGCGATGTCATAAAGATTCTATCAAATAACAATAGAAGAGAATCCTTGCTGCAAATGCTCATTGACGAACCGGAATAAAATGTGTTTAGTGTTGCCAGATTTGAGATTATTACCCATATATTGTCCTGAATACTTTGAAATGTTGAAATTTTGCTTTCTTCTATGTGGCGTTCTGATGAGGCCTTGCATTAGAAGCCACTGATATGTCGAAATTACTCTTTTGAGTTGGACGGGAAATTTCTTCGGTTTTTTGTGATGCAGCTTGAACTGAATAATTTATTAAAATGTGCTCGGCTATCAATTTTAAAATGCAAGAAAATTAAGATGAACATGAATTCATTGTTTTTTTTTTTATTTCATTTCAACTTTCGGAAATTGAATGAAATTCTTCTAGTTGATTCCTATTGTGCGACTCTAATTGATAATTTTCAAAACAAAAAAATTATTACTGAATTTGAAATATCGAATGCTTTCAATTTTGAATCAATTTGAAAATTCGATTCGCTTTGGACAGTTATGCTTCTACGTTTCTGTATATTTCACGCTAGCTTATTATTATATATATAGATATTTATGCATTTCAATTTTTTACTTAGTTCCAATGTAAAATGTGATGCAAACTTTCATGCTCCCTGTTCAATATGTTGCTTATGTATATATTTGTTTCAAATATATTTTGTGAAAAAATAAAAAGGCCAGTATTTCAATACTGGAATGTTTTGTATTATATTTTTGCTTGGTCTTGTTTATTCCACTGTATAGAGAATGTAGTTACCAGTACCTGTTCAACACTTGCCTGGAAATAGCTATTCTGGAAATCACTCAGGATTACGACCCTGAGGAACAAAACAGTGTCAGAAAGTAGAGTAAAAATTTTAAAGTTTCCATTCGACATAAGTTTGAAGTTTTCTTTCTATCATAAGTTGTCGCCATTTTGTTGAATGCTTGATCTGATGCAAACCAGAGCTGCTGTGTAGTCGAATGAGACTTGCACTTTCTAAGTATTCTAAGGAACCACATATTCCCAAGGAATAGAAAGCCAGCAAACAGTGGCGTAGCTAGGAGAGTGGTTTTGCTCCCCCCCCCCCCTTTTTGAAAAGATATAAAAAAAATCAAATCATTTTCTGAATCATGAATAGCAATTTTTCCGTGGCTTAAAATGTTTTTCCGCATCCCCCCCCCCCCCAACACTAATAAAAACACGCGTATTCCAGCGTTCGATTGGACCCGCTAGCTGTTTCGATCTAACTTGACAAATAAAAATTTTAGAACCCTTCTGGAATCCCTCTAGTTTGGAATAACTAACCCAATTTCGAAGAGTCTCAATAAGCAAGTCTTGAATGTAAACTTGCAGAATTCTTTAACTGTACTGTCAGAACCCCGGTAATATGACATCCATTAATCCATTAATGTCAAGATAAAAATTCAAGTTTTTTTTAAGGACAATCCATTGGTCTATCTCGGAATAAAATTACTGGTGAAAAATTTACTGATGATTGGATATTAATTAAATAAATACAAAAGGTTTAAAATATCCAATTGACAAAATTCATAAAGGTTTGTTTCCACTAGTTTAGATCCATATAATATTGTACAATATTTAGTACTACTGTAAATAAATACTAATACTACTACTATGGTTCGATAGCTTTATAAAAAAAAGTCATTTGAAAATATCTAAGCCTTGTTTCAATAGCTGATAAATATGAATTTGTGGAATTTTTTTAACATTCTTCATAAGCGATATTAAAAGATTCTTGCCTAAAGGGCCGCTATACTTGATCATACGCGAAAGGAAATGAAAGAATCGCACCCCAGTGGTACACCTAAAATTCTCCATCGCGCCTACTAGCGGATAAACTGCTCACGGTTGGCTTCAAAAATACCAAGGCAACGTTTAAACGTTGGAGTGTTTCGCTCTTCCCGCGGCTTCAAATTTCAATTTTTACTTTTGGTTTATACTATTGTCACCGTTTATTGCGCCGAAAGGATCTTTGGGAAGGCAGTGACAGCACGGAATCAACTGCGCTAATTTTTTTTAGGGTATTATAAGATACTATGAGGAGTTATCCCGAAGTAACCTGGTGCAGCACCACCGGTTCGGTGGCACCCGTTGAAGCCTGTAAAGCTGACGAAATGCAGTGGCAGATCAATGACCAGCCAGACCAGGAATAGAATTAGCCAGGCCTCTTGCTATTTCTCGTGTCTGCGTGTATTTACTCACAGTTTTGCAGTTATTTCATGTTTAACTTTGTTTTAGACAGCTCCCTGTGAACAAGTTTGGATAAACTGTGCCGTAGGCGTAACGTTTAGTCTCAAACTGGACAGGCATTCTGAATAAAGTTGTGTTTTGCAATAATATGATAATGCCATATCCAAGTAAAATTACAATGTCTCAGAAAATTTTTTCTTTGTCTTCGGGAATATGGTTCAGTAAGAAAATCTATTCTACTTACAGTCAATCTGCGTTGAAATATTGATTGTACTATTGTAGCACTGGGTTGTTTTAATACTGTAATACAGTAATTTTTGTACTGTATAAATGCCACATCACTAATTCCCGCATTCCTCCAGTCCTTAAAGATTACATTTCCCACAGTTCTTAAAAGTTGAATGAGCCAAATTTTGGGATAATCTATTTTTGTCAAAGTTCTTAAACCTTGTTTGAATGATGCAGCATTTAGTTGAATATAAGGAATAATAAAAATGAACTGTTTATTTCAGAGCTGGTATATTTATTTTAGAGTCATATTTTAAAATACTCAGAGCTGAGATCAAATTGTCAGATCTGGCATATTTGAACTTTAAATAGGGGTAAGCGAGATTAAAAATTCCAAAAGCATCAAGTTGCTGAATATTCTCAACAGACAATTAATGAGATCTTATATAGCAAAAGTTTTCAATACCAAAATTTGATTTTCTGAGAGTCTTGAACTCTTGAGTCAAAAATTCCGAAATTCCTTAACTAGGAGTTGATCTCCTTTATATTAGCTCATTCATTTCCATGTTTTCCTGTGTTTTGTTTGTTTTACCTGTGTTTAATCATATTTATTTGCATTCCTATTTTTGTACTATAAAATTTACTGCTGGGATTTAAACTGAATTATCCAAGTTTTTATGAAATATTCAACCCCAAGAGCAAAAGAGATAAACCAAATTGAAGTTCTGTCAAAGGAATGTCACATCATTTATCTGGGATCGGGGATAAGAAGGTGAGCAACGTAAAGTTTTTTTAATGCAACAGTTTGTGCATCTTGCGCTAATAAGACTACTAGGTGTCATCGCACGTCTGATCACTCTCTGTTCAAATCCCAGTAGAGTCGGTAATGTTTGAGAAGATTGCTGGCTGGCCTGACGTAGGGAGGTCCAGGTGGTCGCTCGTGGATTACAGCTTTTTTGACCATCAAGTCCATGCATCTGAAATTAATTGTGACCGTACATTTGAACCCACGTACATTTGAACCCATGCGTATATCCGCGGGTTCAATCTATATGCGGGTGCTAAAATCCATGGGTTAGGGTGAGTATGGGTTCAAATATCCGTAAAACAAAAAAAAATTCATAAGTGCGATAGTATGCAGGTGCAATTGTCATGGGTTTAAATGTACGTGGGTTCAAATGTAATGGAACCGAAATTAATACCTAATTAACTATTCCAGTCCAGATTTGCAACAAAATTCCGAACATCAAAAAATGTGCTTTTGATCTTTTAAATGATAGGCCTTATCTCGTTATGATGCCATATGCGACTTCCATTGTTTGGATATATGTCTCAAAGTATCAAGGCACTCCTTTTTTCCAAAGGCCGACAGCCTGCCCCAGATCAACGATGTGTACCATTACATATTCTGCAATTATATGCAGTTCTGATTCATTTTTGTTTAGTTAGATGGTGGAATGACATGCCATCCTGTTTACAATGATATTGAAAGTTAACAACTCAAAATACAAGTTCCAAAGAATACCACATGCGCCAATGGAAATTCAGCTTTAGAGATGTTCAGTGTGTTTTTATGTTGATATAATGTTTTGAAATTGTCCTGTATTACAATAAAATATTTCATAATCATGACTACTAGAGCAGTATGAGCTTATTTCAACTTGAAAAAATGATGTTTCTAATATTGAGCAATAACTTTCATCTAGATTTGCTTTTATAAACTTTTTCATTATTCAGATTCTCCAGAGGAAAATTCCAAATAACACACGATATAAAAATGTTATGGCAAGGGTAGATACCGGTGAGTAAAATGCCTGGATTTTATCGGATTTTATATTTATGTTAGGGGAAGAAAAAAGCTGAGAAGGTGTCTTTATTATGTGTTATACCAGGGGTTCCCAAGCTTTTTTCAGGACGACCCCAAAGACAACTTCCAAGTGTCCAGTGCCAATATAATTTTGGAGCTCCTTTCACTGGACTTTTGAGTTTGGTCATGTGGTGGTATTAAGTAAAATAAGCTAAAACCAAACAGTGATGTCACAATAATCACCTACATTTTCTATAGCATAAGCATAGAGTGATGCCTATGGGCCTGTTTTACAGTAAACTGCTAAATTTAACATGGTTTGTCAAATCTTGGATGTTTTGTACATCCATCCTCTACCATACCTCTACCATACCTCAGCGACTCCACCGACCCCACGACCTGTTTGTGACCCTACCTACTTATCAATCCGACCCAATTTGGAGTCAGGACCCCTGGTTTGGGACCCCTGTGTTATACCATGGTTTCACATTTGGTTGTTAGTATCGGGGATACTCAATTTACCAGTTTATATTTTCAAGCACATTTCCGCGATTTGAACAGTGAAACAGTAACCAGCAATTGGTTATGCAATGCCACGAAGTCCAGCAATCTCCTTGCACATAATCATGTACTGCGTGAGATTTAACCTATGACCCCACATGGGGTAATCTATGCTCTATGCTCTTGTGGGTGTACCATGCTCTGTATGATTACTTTGTTTTAGAAAATAAATAGCCTATACTTATAATGTAACTCGCATTCATAACTTTTGTGTTCACATTAGCACAGTGGGCTGAGATGTCCAAATAGAATCGAATACTTGAATACCTTTCAAATTGGTGATATTCAATATACGTAGATTTGGATATTTTGAAATAATTTTAAAAAATTTTATTTTTGAGTTTTCAACGATATTTTGAGCATAGGACATTTTTTATCTCATATTTTGAGCATAAGACAACCAAAAAAATTCCATCCACATAATTCCTATCGAAAAGATTTTCTACGAGTATCAGGTTGAATTTCGTCTTGATGAAATATTCCAAAAGGATATTATTGCCATCAATGGAACCATATGAGCAACAAATTTTCCTAACACCACTTATCAAACTCTCTTTTTCTGTTACAGGAATGAGTGTGGCAATATAACCTTTGAAATTATGATATTTATTAATATATGTAGTTCAGGATTTTGAGAACTTGTAATTTTGATCCCCTGATATCCCAAGCATCCCTCCTAATAGGTCTCTTGATGGGGGTTAGGAATAGGTGGAACTTTAAGAAGGAATTTCCTGTTGGCATAATTTTCTTAGCACTGCTCAAATTATGTTTCTCATTACAGGATCAAGTGTTACAAGATACGAGAAAAGAATTGAAGAAATGCAGATGAGTAAGTTGTTTCTCGAATATATTATTCATTATTTTATATACTTGAGGGCACTATTATAGTGCCTTGGAACCTCGGTTAAAAACACCTGGTTTATAGTAAGGAAGTTATTTTTATTTGAAGTATAAATTTAGACTTATAAACCTTTTCCTCTATTTTGGGTGTACAATGCACACCCTTTTCAAAATATAAAAAAAAAGCATTTTTCTGTCTTATACGTAGCTTGAACCGCTTTTTAGACTGTCAAGTCTCGCTGGCAGGCCCCGCTAGTTTATTCCGTCTAACTTAACAAATAAAAATTTGAGAACTCCGCTTCCCCCATTTATAATTTTTGGCTATGTCTCCTTAAACAAAAGTAATTTTTCAAGATAATCAAAATTAGTGTTCTCCTCTAACAATTTACCAGTACCATAATTTGTGTAGAATTTCATGAAGTATATTGTTTAAATAATTTTCATTATGGAATGTCATCTCTTTCAAATATATTCTAGATCAGCAGTTACCAATCGGGGCTCGTGATCTCCCAGGGTGGGAGAGGGCTGTGGGGGGGCAATCAGAATCTCCAAATTAGTTTTAATGAGATTTTGTTTGTATACTTTTCCCTTGTACGATAATTCCATGTTCTCAATAGTTTCATACAAAAATGCCACTGACATGACTATGGACCATGAGTGCTAAAAGCTTTCGGAAAGGGGCCACAAGCCATAAAAGGATGGGAACCACTGGTCTAGATCAGCGGTTCCCAAACTATGGGTCGCGACCCACTGGTGGGGCGCAAAAAGAATCTTAGTCGGTTGTGAAAAGATGTAGAAAGCTTTGATTAATTATACTGGTTATTAGGATCGGTGGCGACTCGAATACGTGAATCTTCAAAAAAAAAAAAACGGAAGAAATCAAATTGAATTGAAATTCTAATCTGTGAAAGTTTCCTTTTTACAATCTTCTCAAAGGAACAAAAATTTGCTACACAAAGAATGACCATGTGGCTTTTTTACGCATAGCAGTTTTGTACACTGTACAGCACTTCTTACCCTGTTCCCCCGAAATTTAGACAGGATTTAGATTTATTTTCTTTTGATGAATAATACTATGTTTGTTTTTTGGAAGAGGTCTTTTGTGTTCATTTATCAAAAATAAAATTACATTGTAGAAAATCACGAGATTTTTTAATAAACATTATATAAAAACTGACATCCATTGTTTTTGTTTGTATTTCCTATACAAAAATCAAGTGACAAATATCATAATTGTGATATCACACAATCTTGAATAGTGGTGTGATCTTCACCTTACCTCAGGCCAATGAACCTTTCCTCTCCCACACATTTTAAATTATTTTAAGGATAAGGTTTAATTAAAATCATTTGGAAAATTCAAATTATTATCTTATTTTCAGGCCAGGTCTAATTTTTGAGGAAACACGGTAGTTTTGCGATGATTAGCCATTGCTGTGTTCTTTGTTATGTCATCAAAAAACAAAAGAAAATTAAATTAAAGTTAAGTGGGTCGCCATAAGCTGTGGTGATAAATAGTGGGTCCGGCTCTAAAAAGTTTGGGAACCACTGCTCTAGATCAGGGGTGTGTAACCTTTATTACAGAAGGGCCAGATTCAAGTAATTGGGTGGATCCGCGGGCCGCACTTTTATTTAAGGTATAATTTCTAGTAGTTAAAGTAGTTGAAGTTTTTGCTAGCTAGTTTTGCTAATATTACAGTGGCACTTGGGTACTGTTATAGGCTTTGCGACGCAAGGGAATTGGAAATTTATCGCACGTACTAGAATAACTAAACCATATAACTCGTTTCGCGGGCACACTATTCGAAAATGGAACTTCTCCGCGGGCCGCACAATATTTCCTTGCGGGCCGCATTTGGCCCGCGGGCCGCAGTTTGCACACCCCTGGTCTAGGTCATTATTTCGTTGTTGGTGTCATTTTACTATTTAGAAAAAAAATTTTGCTTGGAATCTAATGGACCAATTGATTTTAATTTTAGTACTTTAATATGGCAGAAGCCATTGCAAGCTATTTAGTTTTATTTTTTCATATTTTCACTTGAATTTCTGTGGGAACAAGATATTTCACAAATTTTGCTGTTTTATATCAATTTTATGGACATGGGAACGTTTTGTCATGGAATATGGAACACTATATTCTGTCACGCTTATCCGCAAATATTTTCAGCAAATTCTGTTCTCAATTACTGTTCGGTACTGTACCAATCTCCTTGCCCATTTATTTGAGCATTGTTCTAGCCTCTAAAATTACATAGTTAATCTATAGCACGGACATCACGTCATGTTTGTAAACAGTTTATTTTTGACAAATAATAAATAACTATTTAATTTATTTTTTGATTGAATTTTCATTTATTTATCTCATATTCACACTTTATCGCTTCAAGTGCTACTCTAGCGATCCAACTTCCTGCCAAGAGAGGGACTTGTGGATCGATTTGCTTGGGTTACATAATTGGTAGAGAAGCCTCATGAACTATCTAATTTTGTACCTTGAAATTAACCTGGTTATTTAAGAAAGATTTTGATCCCTGACACCTGATTCTTTTCTACAGTTTCAGACTCAAATATTGATAACAAAAACTTGGCCATGCAAAAGCCTCTTTTTGTAGACTGTTTAGAATGATTAGTAAAATTAATGTTTTTCATTCTCAAATCCCCTTTTTAGAATCAAGTCTCGCGCCCCCACCTCAAATATAACTAGCTAAAAATAAGCTACAAATAACAGTTAGTGATGCTAAAGTATGTTTTATTCAAAAAGCACGTTGAAAATACGAGGATGGATCGCAATCTCTAAACAATAAAGTAATGTACATATACAGGGTGTCCAAGAAGTTTCGCCCGATTTTATGGCAAAAACAAATGTAAATTTAAATAAATTTTATTGTATGATAATTTATAAGTACAACATCCAACATCTATAACATCCAATTCAATACAGGTGGACTATAAATCTTTTTACAATTAAAAAATAAATTATCATTTGGTTTTAAAGACTTTATGATCGGGCGAAACTTCTTGTACACCCTGTACAAAATAAGGTCAAATCTATCAAATATTTTTAGTTTCAATTAGCTTAACGGCCATTCAAAAAATTGTCTACGTCCACCTCGCAGGGCAGAGTCACCGTTTAAAAACCACGAATGTAGAGCATTCAAATTCAAATCTCCAATGCTCAAAGTTGGTGAAAGTCCTCTTGTTTATCTCATATTCACACAGTACTGCGTCAAGTGCTACTCTAGCGATCTAACTTCCTGCCAAGAGAGGGACCGGTAGTTTGGATTTGCTTGGGTTGTCAGACAATGGGTCCTTGACTTACATGAGTCTGCAGGGTAAATGTCAAGGAGAGACTTGTGCCTGATATAGAAATATGTTTGTTAGAGTTTTGGGAAATTGTTTGCTCTTAGAAATATGATTTATTGCCAGGTATTAGTGGAGAATCTTGAAGCCTAATTAGATAGTATCTCATCATGTTTTTTCGAAATAATATTTGCATTACATAAGTCTACAGGGTGAACATCAAGGCGAGACTCAAAACTGTTATAGGAATATGTTGAATTTGGTAAAATGTTTGTTCTTAAGAGTATGTATAAAATGTATGAAGCATACACAAGCCCAAATATATTATCACAATACTTCTCGCAAGCATATTAGAGAGTATCATATATCCTTACATACAAGCATAGTTGAAAAGTTGCCAAACTAAGGGATCGCCATTTTCTGTGATAGTTGCATACGACTGTTCCAATTTGTAGTGTCGTCTTTTTATGCAAATTTTTCCTAATTCACTGTTTTAGGGGGTCAGATTATATATGTGAGAATAAAATAAAAATATTATTTGCCAGGAATAAACTGTAGTATAAAATTATCTTGTATAGATTTAAACTTTATGAATCATATTGAGATTGTTATTCTTATATCTGAGGTTCTATATAAACACGGATATCCCCCAACAAAGAGCTTACATTACCTCCTATTGTGTTGAGATATCAGAAGCAGATAACCCAAATAAATCATGCCAACGTGCGCGAACAATACTTGACATTCTTGTGTGGATATTTGATTAATCTTCACGGTGTTCTAAGGATAAAAATTGATTGTTTCTCATTTTAAACAGTGTTTTATAACAACTGGGGTCATCACAACCCGTTACAGGAAATTTCGCTGCTTAGGTAAATTCGCCACATGGAATATTGCTGCAAGAACATTTTGCTGTAAAACAAGTATTTGTGATAAAAACAGTTTGGTTTATGGGGTTAGGGTATGCTCTTAAATAAGAAATCTTTTTTGAATAAAGGTACTTCAAAAACCTTCAAACTGTTTACAGCAAAATGCTCTTGCGACGATTTGTACCATGAGGTGAAATTTCCTATGACGGCAACCTGTGCAGCCAAAGTGAGCTCTACTAATGTTAGATGTAAATTATTTAATTAAACTATTAGGAATTATAATTAACTGGGTCAGCATAATATTCTGAATATGCAATACTCTTAAAGTAAAATTACTCAGATTATGATTACTGTTTACTCTAAAAAATCGGCAATATTATCTTGTAGAAGTTAGCGTAATGGGTAATTTAAAAACCTATTGTTTTGTGTGTGCTTCGGCCTTCGATTTTAATATTCGTTTTATTAGCGCAAGCTAAAGAAGTCTGGGAACCACTAGTTTAGATACCCTCATCATATGGCGAACCACGGCCTACCAGTGCATGTCAGGTAGGGATATATAATACCAATATTTGCTGATCTGCCAGATTAATTGATTTGTGAAGGTTGTAATTCCTTCATTATAAAGGCGATATTGATTTATGGGTATTTGCTGTTTTAATCATAATGACACCTGACTTTCATCTGAAATTACGGTAGATAGGATATCCATTTATATATTATTTGTTTTGTACTCTGGGCTCTCAAGAAGTGTGTGTACCAATATATTTTGTTCGCCTACTTTACATCAAGTTGTGTAAAGCAGCGTTTCCCAAACTTTTCCAGTTTGAGAAACCCTGGTGTAAAGGGACTGAAACCTATGGGCAGGGGGTATGGTATATTCACTTGGCTAACACAGAAAGGCCCCCAAACTCGAAATGACCTAAAATAAGGAAAATCTGAATAAAATATAAAATAATATTAATAATAAAATTAACCTTAATCTGGTATACACACTACGGGAGTACCCTTGCTTTTTCGTGGTCAGGTATTTTTTTAGTTGTGTTGTTATTTAGTGGAAAACAGGTCTGGTATGTGAGATCGTTAAGAAAGATATCCTACTGTATGAATTTATTTCTGTATAAACAGATATCGATTCATGGGTATTAGCTGTTCTACTTATATCGAGATTAGTGAAAGATATTTTTTATGGTTTCATTACATTTGAACCCACGTACATTTGAACCCATGACAATTGCACCTGTATGCTATTGCCCCTATGGAATTTTTTTTGTTTTTCGGATAGTCGAACCCACACTAACCCTAACCCATGGGTTTTAGCACTCGCATATAGATTGAACCCGTGGATATACACATGGGTTCAAATGTACGTGGGTTCAAATGTACGGTCACCATTTTTTTATATATGATGTTATGTAACAAGGGAGGATTAGAGATCTTCATTCCTTCCTTTGATCAATTTATTTCTTAAACGTGGAAGTTGATTTGTAGGTATTTATCATCATTTGGAACTGGGCTTGTTATGTGATACAGTTTAAATATAAATGTTCATATTTAGCTAGTTTGGTATTTCAGGATCCATCTTTTTACAATTAATTTTGTTTTTAAATATTCTACATGCTATTATATACATATGTATCAAATTTTAGGCCATCAAGTACGACCTAAACTGTGTTTTTGCTGTGAAGATAACAAATTTAAAAAAAAAATGTATTTCGATCATCTGAATCAGTTTTCAGTCAGTTATATTTTGCTATAATTTTATCTAAATTAGCGTGCAATGTCATTCTTTTATGGAATTGGATAAATATTACTTTAAATGTGTAGTGGGTCAGGTTAAGTCCAACTCTCTAACCTCACTCAGTTTTGGTCATTTATAACTTTATATAAAGTCACTTAGCTTAGTAAAAAATGTAATGACAAACTCGTGAATAATGCCAATAAAATTTAAAAGACCAGACGTCAACAAACTTCTACACTCAAGCTGGGAAAAGCAGAGTGCAGGTTTGTGTTATTAGAAACACTTGGTTTTGATATAATTTTTTACATAACATTTTTTGACGAAAAATTACTTTTACATTTTCGACTCCGAAAAATTACTTATACATTTTCGACTCCGAAAAATTACTTATACATTTTCGACTCCGAAAAATTACTTGTACTCGCAGTCTAGAAGTCTTCAATCTGAGTACTGGATGGCAGTATCGTTATATACACATTTATTTACGATGCCTCTGGTCAGGACAAGATATAAATGCTGCTTACTTCAATAAAAATAAATATTGCCTGCCTTATAACTATGACTTCTGCAATGTTAAATCTCTCTCTTTGTGTCATATCCCCGGTGTACTACATACCAAGAACAAAAACATTTGTTACAATTACCGGTAATTGTTTATTCATTGTTTGGTCACGCTTGATATGAAAATTCAATTCTAAACAAATTTATTCATTGCCATATTCAAACTGCATGTTTTTTTTTCGTGTCATTGTTGTGAAGTGCTTGTCTGAGGAAGTCTGATTTTGGGCAGACGAAACGTTACAGAAATACAATTGTGATGGTGTGCAGCAAGACTCTTGAATTGCATAGTATTTTTGTTCATGTTGATAATTTTTGTGGCATTCAGAAAATAATTTTCAAACAAATGCACAGCTTAATATTGTTTGATTGTGATGCCTTCCCTTCAATAAAAATTCAAAATTGATTCATATTCAAGATAAACCAATATTCCATATTCTTTTTATATAATTTTGGACATGGTGGTGTTAGGAATGTCCAAAATAGAATAATTCACTATTCCGATTGCATTTTGAAATATTATTTCCAAATATGGAATGAAACATATTGAAAAAGGTGAAAATGCGGGATGTTTGAGGTATACAAAGTGATTCAAGAGTCTTGCTGCACACTAACACAAATATATTTCCGTAACGTTACATCTAACCAAGGTCAGACATACATACCGGTAGATCAACTATAACAAGAAAAGCAGTTGCATGCTTATTTAAACAAATATTGTGAAACTAAGGGAGTTACACATGGTAAATGTCATTTTGATGTTAAATTTTTTACAGTGTGGAAGAAGTTTAACTAATTCTTTTTTGTGATGCTTACTCACTTCTTTCGCTTGGAAGAAGGAAAACAATATTTTTACCTGACTGAATTGTTTTGAAAATGACACTCTTTTCCATCGTGACTAGATTCAATGCTCTGAACTGGCAGTCACTGACATAGCGGCTCTTCTTTCTGTTCAGTGTTTTTCAGTTACCTAATTGTATCGAATGCAACCAGCTGCATGTCTCAAACTGATCAATTCCAAAATGTGATGATGTTCGTAGAAGTTTACAACTGTGATCGTTTTTTTCAGATTACAGATATAGGAAGAATGAATTGTTCAAGCGAATGAAAGTTACCACATTCGCTCAACTGGTGAGTAATGATATTATGATTTCTATTTGGTATTTTTATTTCCATTGCTCTGCTTCGATAAGGGATTTATACCAGGTTTTGTGGATGCTGATGGCTTAGTGCAGTGGTTCCCAACTGCATCTTTTCCCATTTGCTGCCTACAAATAAAATTGAATTTTGTGATCGTTAATGTGTATTTTATGCTTTTTGAAGTTTGCAAACATGTAGGACCTAAAGAATAAGGCAATGTCAACAAAACAACATAGCGTCATAGGCAGCATTCCCCTTTATCTAATGGAAGGTGTGCTGCTGCTGCTCTGAACGCATCTTAACAAATTTTCATTTCAGTCATGTCTTAGCGGTAGTTTTGTTTAACACAATTGTGGTAATTTTCAGGACGCCATTACCAAATTGCCCCCTCTGGGAACAACTGACTTAGTGGAGCTTAGGATAGGTCGCAGGGTAAATATCTCAAACTTGCTCCCTACCTGACCCAAGGTATAATAAAATAAGTAGGCTGTCGAATCCAAAAGTGTTAGGTTACCATAACAATATAGTTTTTAAATAGTCTTTTTAAATATTTTAAATAGCCTACCTGACCCAAGGTATAATAAAATAAGTAGGCTGTCGAATCAAAAAGATTTAGGTTACCATAAACATATAGATTTTCAAATAGTCGGTTCTGGGTGTGGTAATTTAGATAGACTATGCCAAATTAGAAAAATATGTTCTTTTTTAAAAAATATATTTGGGGTTTCTGCGTCTTCAATGGCTGCCTCTACAGAGCCTTGTCAGATAAAAATTGTGAAAACACTCCAAAAAAAAGATCGAATTTTTATATCTACCTGATTCGAGTATGAAAAGGTTTAGAAATACTGGTCATTGTCCCATAGATACTGAAATATAAAACCCACAGGTTATGATATTTGATTATGTATATTGAGGTGTGTCCATAACAACTATGAGGTCATAATATACCTTATTTGTTTAGATCCACCATATGTCAATATGTAGACATAGAGGGATAGGTGGCGCAATTTTGAGATCACGCCTTGTTAGTTTGTAATAAAGGAAGAAGTAAAAAAATTTCAGTTTTGGATATGGATTCCGATATAGATAAGTTGAAATTGAACGCTGCTTCCCCAATAATACTAACTTAACCTATCTGGAATGGACCCTGTATTGCATTGACTTTGGATTATAAATGAAAAATGTTAACCCCTTAAAGAATAGTCTTCTGTTTTTGCGCATCGCATCCCAAAAAACGAATATTTTTCAAAAGACAAATAAACGGCCAAATATTGTTCAATTGTACTGTTGTCATTCATTCAATATAATCCTTCCGTATCCTTGTTTCAACTTCAGCCTTTTGTTTGGTCACAATAGATGTTTTATTCGTGTATAGTGACATATAATAAGGAGTGTTTCCGAAAGGGATAATGTGTGAATGACATTTTGTAACCGTTTAATACTACGACACATCCTGGATATATAAAGTTGTAATAATTTTCAAAACATGGAAACGTGTAGTCAACAATATACTTTATGAACACGGCTCCCCCCCCCCCAAAAAAAATATTTATATGCGGGTCTGTGGACACCTGTTGGCAACCACTGTCCTGAAGGTTCCTGAGTTGTATAACCATGGATTGCTAAATTCAAATAGGCAATGTTCCCTCTAATTTTTTGTAGTATGTGTGCGCAGAAATTTTGACTTGTGCGCACTTTTTTGGAAATGACTAATATTTGTGCAAAAACCAATGAAGAAATTTTGGTGTTCTAACCGGGTAATAAGTGGGCCAACAACAAACTTTCTCAACCTACCAACCGAGAACATTGTTACATTACATCGAATTACGTCTGTGCGCAGTAAATCTATGCGTGTGGTGCGCAGCATCTGAAAGATGTGTGCACGCGCACACCTTAGAGGGAACACTGCAAATATGTAAATCATTTTTTCATCTTGAATAGACTTTACTGGGTTTTATTGGGTTATGCTCAACAAAAATTTGCAGAAAGTGTAATTCGATTAAGTAATTCATCCTGGCCAACAGCAGTAATAATATAATAATTTGTGACTCTATTCGACAGCCCTTTCATTGTGCACAATGCTTTTCTGAGTGCCTTTTATATTTAAAGAGTTAAAATCTAGGGCACCTAGGTTGTTAAATCAGTCAGGGAACTTTTGCAACAGGGATGGATGAATTCTAATAATTTAATTTTCATTTCTCTCTAAATTGGAGAAATTTGCAAAAGTTGTAATTCGTTGACCAACACCAGTTACATCACTGTTTATTTCATTTTCTCTTGAAGTTAGATTTTCAAGAGCCCTTCAGTCTTGAGTGCCCACTTTTATTTTCACTTACTGAACTCTCTGAGTGCTATTTCTATTACCCGTTGACAGTTGGTGTGCACCTACCAGAAAAATATATTAAATGACCATAAATTTGAATATTTTTTTTTATTAATTTGAGTTGTGTTGCGCGAGACTAACTTCCTATCTTTTCTCTATGCCTTTATGCTGGTGGATCCGTATGCGTATACTGCAAGGATACTGTAGCTGGAATAAACATGACTATTCTATCCAATTAAAAAGTCCAACTGCACACTAACATAAACGTATTTCTGTAACGTTTTGTCCGACCAGAGTCAGACTTCCTCAGACAAGCAGTTTTTATTACCGGTATATCGACATAAACTGCTTTGAGTCACACCAATCTGTGTTTGGCAACTCTTTAAGTTCTACGCAACTATCAGCTGGAGTTACGCAAAACTAACTACCTTTAATTGCTCTATGCCTTTGTAGAAGTGAATCCGTATGCAGATGCTGTGGCAAGAATAAAGATAACCACCCTGTTCAATTTGAGAGTTTTGCTGCGTACTAACTCAAACGTTCCAGACATATATTTGTGTTAGCATGCAGCAAGACTCTAGAATTAGTTCTACACTATGATTCTAAATAGTCCTAACTCCTAGTCGCTCTTTGCTTCGGTGTGCCGCCTCTCTGCTGCTGAGTTAGTACCATATACTAGCTAGGGCCATATATGGGATAGGGGTACTCAGGGATGATTAGGTCAAACTGAATATTTGAACTGATTTAAAATTAGTTATATTCAATATATCATGATTTATGAATAATTAGAATTGTTTTATTTGTCTCACAGTACGACCGAAAATGCCATATTTAATTTAAAATTATTTGTATTTTATTTCTCATTGTACCTCCTTTCCTTTCTTAGTAAAAGTTGCTTTTGAATGTTTACTCAGCCTGATAATTTTAATTTGATGATACTTATCCTATACGGTGTGGTAGTGTAAACAGTACAGGGGGTATGATTGGCTGTGAAAAAGACGAGCACCTGCTTGCTTTATAACATATATAGTAGTAATGTAAACAGTCTAATGGTTATAAAATTGGCTCTGAATAGGACTCCAGACATGCTCCCACTTGTTTCTTGATACTATTTCGTCTTGGTGGGAACTTACAAGAGGTGCAAAATGGCTCTGAAAAAGGCTTCCAGCAAACACCCACTCAAAGCCACATGGCATTGAAATTCACCTGGCTCATTGGTACACCGGAAGTGTGTGAACCAAGATGGCGCACACGGGAACGTAGTATGTGTACCAGGTTGGTGTTAGGCCATAATTTCAGGTACAAATACTACGGGAGTCACTTGGCTAGTCCCTGAACTCGTAATAGAGCTAAAATAAGGAAAATTGGAATAAAATTATGGCCTAACCCCAACCTGGTACACATACTACGTTCCGGTGTCCGCCATCTTGGTTCACATACTTCGGGAGTACCAGCTCATGTTACCAAGCATTTGGAGGATTTTACCTATGCTTGCCCTACATAGATTCTTAGGTTCATAATCTTGTGAGAGTATTTTTCTGCGACCAATCATTTTATATTTTTTTCAGGTTCTCCAAGTTGCAAATATAGCAATGGCAGATGAAGATGAATATGATGGAATAGGTAGGTTGAGTGACAATATAGAATCAAATCATTTACTATTTCAAAAACATTCCAAAACATGAGAGCTATGCTTAAATATATAAGTTGCATGCCCGGAAATATGATTAAAATAAGCGCACTGGTAAACTGAGATCCAAGTTTACTAAAATGATTGTCGTATAAGTGTGTTGGAATAAAATAATTCAATTCCCATTCCAATTATTGAATAAATTACCATTTCAAAAACATTCTTAAAGATGAGAGGAATGCTTAATTATAGGGACACTAATGTTGCACACTGTTACCAATGTGGCCTTTAATGAGTTTGCTGGAAGGACTGGCAGATGAGCATGCTAGAATAAATTGTCCCGATGTATCCTAGAAAATGTTCCCATTCCAAGAACATACTAAAACATGAGAGCAATGTTACCATTTTTACTGGACACTAATGTTGTGCAACGGTACTGGTAAAACCTTAGCTGAGCACCGGAATTTGCTCAAAAGGTTGGTAGACAAGCATGAATGAGAAGCTTGATCCCATATTTCATAAAAAGTGCTCCCTTGAATTAAAATGAATGAGTGAAATTTTGGGGTGAAAATCAGATCCTCTTGGACACAAGAGCAAGTTTGAAAATAAAATAGAAGTAATAGATTTTAAGTGGCTGCATCCATATATAAGTTTTGAATACTTTGAATCAATCCTTTAGTTGAAAGGAAAAGGGATTCTCAACAAACAACAACAGTTTAGCAAAACGTTCCATATGTACAACTTTGTGTATAATAATCAGCCCAATGAAAATATTTTAAATTCTTCCCAACATTCCTCGTTTGGGGTGGGGCCGTAAAAACATCTCACAACTCAGAATGTATGACTTTGCTAAAGTCACTTTAACCCGTTACAATGTAAAATGAATAATGAAAATTTTATAAAGGCACACCGCGATCTGAAGTTACTTCTAATGCAACATTAAATGGAAACCATAGCGACTCTGGTGAGACACACGGTGATGATAATGACATTGAAAGTGTTGTATCCTCAAGGTCAACCCTACAAAGGTTTGTTTATGTTTGTTAAAGCAGATCGAAGGATAAGTCATACATTTCGAAGACTATTTTGTGAATTGGGAAAATGTAGACCGTGGTCTCCCATCTGGTTCCCTTTTATTTCCCATTAAGGGGCATTTACACTGGATGCGTCGCGGCGGCGCTTCAGTTTCTTTCAGCGAGCGATTTTTGACGCGCACCGCGGCGGCGCTTCTGGTCAAGCGGCACATTATTTTACATTCATTTAATATTTTTGTAAATTATAGCTGACGAAGTTAAAGTATTATTGGTTAAATTCCACGCTCAAGGATATTATTTATTTTCGATGCATTCTACATTGAATGAAATTTCTATTTGGCATAACCCAGGATGGTGCATTATAATGAATTATCACAATTTCCAAAAATAGATAACTGCTTATGTTCAATTACAAATGTATTGAATAATAAACAGTTCAGTGCGATGTAGTGAATACTTGGTTAATTTTATTTAATAACCAGAATATGGCAAATGGGTTACTCCTGATGGTCAGACATTGCAGAATGAAAATTATTCAAACTATTTTGTCGATATTCAACACAATGAATTGTAATATTGATGATGATTTATGATAATTATCTTTCCGCACATGTCCTTGCATAGTCTGAAATAGTCTTTTTATTCAATTTCGTTCTTTTTGTAATTAAGTAGGTCACAACTCATTTTAATCCCGAGTATTGGAAATTTTCGATGTTCAAATTAGTTTTCTATTTTAAACTTAGTAAGTTTGAAATTTAATGTTCTTCAATGATTACTTGTATATATGACTTTCATTTCTCCGGCTTCGTATTTGTAATGTGTGACTACAGTATCTTGTTTGACGTTACCTTCATATTTACTAACTTCAGTAGCTCTGGAATCAGTATGATATTTTCAATCGTGTTCACTGTTCTGTTCTATCAATGACATTAAAGATGTTTAATGTCATTGGGACCATTTATAATTGAGCGGATGGCGGACGAAATTTCTAACTGAATTTGCTGCATCTGCGTTTCTGAGCAACCGCCCCTCTCGCCATCAAGCGATACAAAAATGAAGCGCGCAGTATAAACACCCAGGTCGCACGACAGCAGCGCGTGGCATCCAGTGTAAACGCACCTTAAGGCGTTTCTTTTGGTGCGGCGGGCAGACACTCTCAAAAGGTACCATTGTGACAAGTACATTCATTTATTGGAGAGTTTCATTTTATGACTGCAATGCAATTGCGACCAATTGGGTCGATGGCGGCAAATATATTTGTGTTATTGTGCAGCAAGACCATTGAATCACTTAACAACAACTTTAACAATAATTTTGCAACAATATGTTCACTTCATGTCCGAAAATACATACAAGATTATATTCGAATAAACTGCTTTAGGTCTTGCGCAGATCGGCAATCCCACTATGAATATTCATAGTCTCAGTAGCTTGTGGCACTAGCCAGTGATTGCCTATAGCTTCGCTCAGTGTTGAGTTTTTTTATATTTCAGAGTCAGTGAGTCTGACCTTTAAGCAAATTTCCATAAGAAATAAAGGTACTCATGTAGTAGGTAAACCAAGATGGCAGACACCGGAAGGTAGTATGTGTACCAGGTTAGGGTTAGGCCATAATTTCAGGTACAAAAAATTCAAAAACTACGGGAGTCACTTGGCTAGTCCCCGAATAAAATTATGGCCTAAACCTAACCTGGTACACATACTACGGGAGCGCCGAAATAAACACCATGCTAGAACCTTATATGGGTTAGGTAAACACCCTAATGCATCCTTTTCTATTCTTTTCAGCGTCATCAGTGGCGTAGGAGAAGCAGATTTAGGTGGTCCAAGCGAGCCTAGACATGTTGCTCAGCAAGGCAATAACATCTCAGAAGAAGAAATGAGGTTGATGCAGCCGTACCCATTGTGTCCTTACCTTGTGGTGGATGTGAGAGATCAAGATGAATATGATAGAGGCCATATAATAGGAGGTAAGTTTCAATGAAAATTTATTCAGTGTCCCACATAGGGCTGTAAAGTTGGAGCTGGTATGTTTCTGTGGATACTGGATTCAGAGCTGTGATCATGTCCAATTGGGAGCCAAGGTAAAAAGAAATTGTATACGTCAAAATCTCTGTGGTCACATTTAGCTTTCGTCTAAGTTGAGACCTTGAATCCCAACATAGTCACGTCCGTGGCTTTAACAGCCGACATGGCATCGTGTTCCTGTCAAATTACAAATCCAATGTTCACTGTATTTATCAAGATGCCGTTTAATATCAAACCCTGACTTTGCCAAGGGAATTCTAAATAGATATTATGTTTATTCCTGTAACAAATGATTATATTTCAGCTATCAACTCCCCAACTGCAAGGCTGTCAAGGACAACAAATAATTTTACAAGAGAAATGCTGGAATATGTATCCTTTTGACATTGATTTTTTGATTCATTTGTCATTATTTTATAGTTCAAACCTTATTTTTATGACTCTTGTATTAAAAAGTAAATTTGTTGAAATGAAAAGTAAATTGCCATCATCAATTTAATAAACAACACACAAAAAAATCCAAATGGTTGTAAATAATTAAAGTCGGTGGTTTACGACCTTTGTCGTTTAAATTCCTTCCTTCATCTGTTTTGAAATTCTTTATTCCTCCTTAATAAGCATAAAAACCACTCATTTGTTCAATCTTTAATGGAGATTTAGTTAGCATTATGAGTCCGTAGCACTCGTGCTTTTTGTACAGTTTGAGTGCCATAGTTTATGTGTGCATAAGTGGGCGCTCCAGGAGTATGTATACCCTAACTAATTTTGTTTGCCTATTTTACATCAAGTTGTATAAAGAGACGGAAACCTATGGGCAGGGCGTATATATTCACTTGGATAAACAGACAGTCCCCGAGCTTGTAATAGAACTAAAATATACAAAATCAGAATGAAATTATGGCCTAACCCTAACCTGGTACACACACTACCGTACCGTAGTTTATGTACGCCTAAGTGTGCATTATAGTGATAATATTGAAGAATATTAGTAGTTGTACTACAGCAAATACTGAGCAAAATCCCTCCCAGGGGAATTCCTTCCATTGTGTGGAAAAATAGAACAAATAACAAAAATAGGAATAAAGATTAAAAGTTATAAATGTTTGCTCATTTCTGGGCTTTCAATCTTAGTATTGTTTTTAGCCAGACCGATATAAGCAAAGACCTTTGGTGCTCCAGAGCTGTGTATATCAATATGGTGGTAACTAATTTTGTTCGCCTACTTTACATTAAGATGTGTAAAAGAACTGAGACCTATGGGCAGAGGGTATATTCACTTTGCTAATAGACAGTCCCCGAACTCGTAATAGAACCAAATTAAGGAAAATCAGAATAAAATTATGGCCTAACCATGATATTGTACATACACTACCAGACTTAGTAGTTATTATGAACATTTTTTCCTCAACTCGTTATCGTACGTTCAATTAGAAAAATCAAGTTGGCAAAATAATCGTACTTTATGATGAAGATGAAAAACTTGCAACCATGGCGGCGACCACCATGGTAGAACGCGGATTTGACAATATTTTTATAATTTCTGGAGGTAAGGTTGTTCAATTTTACCTTTTCTTTCATTTAGTTTTTTCTGATGTTGTGTAGAAATTGCTGCTAGTGTCTTTTCAAACCTGACAGGTGCAAACTACGGCCTGCAGGTAATTCAATCCGGCCCGCCTGATGCTATCAAAACCGACAAATTTTCTAAAGACAAATTTTTGACGTTTCAGCTAAAAAAAACAGCTCGAGGATGGCAATTAAATTTAGTTTCGGGACTAGGTTTATTGTTTTCAATTTTTGCTTTCGTAACACTGTAAATATTGTTCAAAAAATGTAACTTCTACGTCATACTTAACAATGGCCCGCCAGTTTGGGGGGGCAAAATTGTTGGGCCCCCTAGTCCGAAAACCTTGCCCACCTCTGTTTTAAAAAATTTGTTTACTCGCCCCTGCACTCTGAAATACCGGTACTGATACTGTGGTGTAGAAGGGTAAGTAGTTAATCCAACACAGTGGCGTGTCTGGAGGGGGGGCCAAAGGGGCAGCACGTTATAGGGGTCAGTTTGTTACTTAGTTTGATGATTTGAATAATAATAATACAAACATTTTTCGGTGCTCCCGAAGTATGCGAACCAAGATGGCGGACATCGGAACGTAACATGGGTAACAGGTTAGGGTTAGGCGATAATTTTTTTCCAATTTTCCTTATTTTAGTCCTATTATCAGTTCGAAGACTAGCCAAGAGCCTCCCGTAGTATTTATACCTAAAATTATGGCCTAATCCTAACCTAGTACACATATTACATTCCGATGTCCGCCATCTTGGTTCGCATAATTCGGGAGCCCCCATTTTACTCTTACTTGACTTTCAATTTATTTATTCTCATGTATAACAACATCTATAAATTATTTATCCCCCAAATTATATTTGAAGTTAGGTATAAGGGGCAGCATTATCAAAAACTCGCCCTGAGCAGCAGGAAAGTTAGACACACCACTGTGGGATTCCCACAGAAAGCTAATTGATAGCAAAAATTAACAGTTTCTTTGCTTAGGATTGGAATTCTTGTCTGCCCTGGGGAATAGCAAATATAAGTTTTTATCAGTCTTCTTGGCTTTGGGAATTGTTCTGCTGTGAACTTTATTACTGCAACAAAATTTGATTTGAGTTGAACTAGCACAAGTTGAGTTTTATTGTACTTGGGCAGATCCAGATTCAAAAATGAAAGAATTTTTTTGCACAGAAGGATTGCTGGACTTCTCACCTTCACTGACCAGTTAGGACTTCCTCTCCTATCGAGTCCACCTATCTGAATCAAATAATTGGGCAAATACCCAACATGAACTGATAAGTGGCTGAGTCGTCTTGTCGGGTTTCCTACCCCTTTTATATACTAATAAACCCTCTGACAACAGCTAGCTCATTTTGACTAGATTTTAGCACTTTTTGACGATAGAATATGCTTAAATATTAAAAACAACTTTCATTTTGTTTTCATACTATTTAAGGATTAAAGGTTCTCGGGCAAAAGATACCAGAAGGGCTTATCACTGGTACTCTACCGCCCTCGTGTGTACCCGCATACATTGCAAAGAGATTGAGAAATAATCGATCCATGGCTGAAGATGGACCGATTGACGCCAGTCCTAATCACAGACTCAAAAGATTCTCCTCAGAAGAATTGGACAGGATTAATCATTATCTGGATGAGAGCTTGGTCCCCAATGATACAGGAAGTAAGTTATGTTTATTTATTGCATGCTAAAAGCAAGTCGAAATCAAGCAGAGAAATTCAGTTCAATTGAGAAGCCTGCCTAGCCAAAATATTTATCTTATTATTTTTCTCCACAAACTTGAATAATTTGATTGTAATTCTAAAAATTTTACTGTTAATCCAGCAACCGCTTCTGATACAAAAAAAGTGATATCATCTCACATTGTCAATTTCAATTTGTTTCATTTTTCAATTTGTCGTTTTATAAGAGGATTTTATAGGTATTTTGATATTGTTACCACTAGAATATGCCAGTGAGCCTATTTGGTACAGCTCGATTTTATTTGTTTCCCCTATTTTTATATTTTCTTTGTATATCAAAAGGTGTTGTAGACCTGATGACCAACCACTAGCATGTTGAATATTTTAGACTTGTCAGATGACAAATAATATAACCCTTAAAATAACTCCATCTCGTAAACGGCAATGACAATTGACTAGTCGGTGAAATTGTACAAGTTTATCTCTGTAATTTTATTTTAATACTGTATTTCCCGGCTATTAAGTTACTTTTCTGGAACCAAAATTTGTCCGGATTTTGAGGGAGGGATTTTCTGGGTCCTATTGGGCGGCTATGTTTTTTTTGTTTCTTCTTGGTTCATGCATTTTTCGCACGAGTCTTTGTGTGAACTTTGTATCTGGGTTAATATAATTTATGATGTATTATTCACCTCCAAAGTGTCTTCCAATCACATTATTAATTTAATGACTTTGGACTGCCAGCTGTTATTTGTCTTATTCTCATTAAAACCATGGCTGGTGCGATGAAGCACTCCCTGTTTATCCCTGATATCGGTACTTCACAAAGAAAGCGCTACCAGGAGATAAACTGATTAATTTATGACCCTTCGGTTTTGCCGATTATGAGAAAAACGAACACCGACTGGAAAACAAAGCTGTTAACTAACCCAGTGACGTACAGTGCAGTACTTATCACACCATATTCGCAGGTTATTTCAATGTTCCAGTTAATGGGTTGTACAAATTGATTAAAATTACCCCTTTATTGTTAAGAATAGTTAATTCTATGAGAATGATTCTACCTGAAAAAACATGACCTGTTTTTAACCATATAAAATTATGAGCTATATGGAAAAACCCTCATTTTTTAGTGATGAAATTAAACCACGTCTCATTGGCCAGGTGGACTTATTAGCCAAAAATAAGGTACTTGATTTATTTGAAGTATTGGAGCTCCAGAAGTATGTGCACCAAGATGTCGCACAACCTGAACATAGTATGTGTACCAAGTTAGGGTTCAGGTTGTGCGCCATCTTGGTGCACATACTTCGGGAGCACTGATGTACTGCCTGCTGTGAAACTTTGCTCTATTACCTCTGCATATTTATTTCCTAACTTAACCTTGCTTCCGTTTTTAGGTCGCTTGAGTCGCCAGTCCAAAGCGAGTGATCGTTTGACAGCAATGAGTAAAACGTCATCCATGTCATCAAGCAGCAGCGGAGGAAGCAGAAGACCATGGAAATGATGTCATAATGAGATTCAATGATGCGGAACTGGACAATGATACTAAAATTTTTAATGGCGTTGAATATTACACCTTATTTTTTACAAAGCTATTTATTTCATGACCAACTTCTTTGGGTCGAACAGTGTTGTTTAAAAAATTTGCTATTTATTTCTTGATAGTTTCTATACTTTTACTTAATACTAGCTCTGAAATAGGCTTGAGACAGAATCTACTGAAATGGAAGCGCTCCAAGTGTGTGTACCAATATGGAGGTAACTTATTTTGTTCGCCTATTTTATATCAAGTTGTGTAAAGGGACTGAAACCTATGGGCAGGGAGTATATTCACTTGGCTAGCACAGACAGTCCCCGTAATAAACTCGTAATAAAACTAAATTAAGGAAAATCGGAATAAAAACATCGCCTAACCCTAACCTGGTACACACACTACGGAAGTACTGAAATGGCTGCTAAGCTTAAAGAGCGTTTAATTAACAGACGTCTAATTTTTTAAACCATATTTTACCTTATCTACGCCTTCACTATACAAACATCCATCATTGTGTGAAAAACTACTAGGGCTGGGCTGGGTTCTTTCTGGATCAGCATTTCTCATTCCTTTTATTACACCCAGGGTAATATACGGATGTTTCCCCGAGCAATAACTTCCTTGCCTATTTTCGTATCAACGGCCAATAAGCTAATAATGGAGTAACAATTGGAATTTATGCGGCCGTGGACGCAGTGAAACGCTTTTATTAAAAATAATGAATTTCGCGACATACACCAGTTCATAAGCGCCAACTCTCGAAATAAGCATATAAAATTTTTCATAGTAAAGTATAGAAAGAATTTTTCTCGGGTCAAGGGTCATGGAAGCATATATTGTGGGCATTGGATTTGAACCTGTACTGTTGTCTTTTTTTCTGTTTACCAGTTTAGGTCGAGTGTTTAATAGCTGAACGATTCTTTTCAAATGCTCGGAGTAGGATCGTGGCAGATTCCATGACCAATCTTTAGTTTTAGACAAGTTGGAGATGTTTTGTAAAATATATACTATGTATAAAAATGTGCATAAAAATACTGTTTCACCAAATTCTTGTTTTTGTTGCAGAACAATCGTTTTCCTTTCCCTCTTATGGGAACATTGTTATATGACGTATGGGAACGTTTTATACAGGGTATCCATAAAGGTCTTTTACAATTTCGATTTTGTTATGAAGTCAGTTCTTTATATATCTTACCCAAGTGTCGTTGATAAATTCCCTTTGCAATTTCAAGATGTCATGGGAACCCTATGGTTCCTATATTACCTTTCTATTTTGGGCGCTCCTGAAGTATTCATACCAAGATGGTGCACAGCCTGAACACAGTGGGTACCAGGTTAGGGTTGTTCCGGTTGTGTGTCATCTTGGTACGAATACTTCCGGAGCGCCAAATTTTGTGTCCATGTATTCGAGCATTGCTCTCTTGTTCAAAGTCCAACCAATGCTCATAGATTCTTCCATATGTTTTGGGAGTGATTGCCAATTATGCTATTTCCAATGCATTCCAAAATAGTATTTTTGAATATGAAATCCTAAATGTATTCTAGCTTTCATACAAATAACACTAAACTAGATTGTATATGCTTCGTTGTTTTTAATATGTTTCGCAATTTGTTAGTTTCTTCGTACTGTTATGTTTTCTTGAATTCTTTCCTGTTTATTCAAATTGTACTACATATGTGTTATCTAATTTTGTTTGCTAATTTGCTGTTATAATATGATTAGCATTACTGCTGGTTGGTTGAGACATCTTCCACCTGACGTTTTTTCATACTTGGAACAATTGTTTGAACAGCTGATCTTATACTCATCTGGGTAACTGGAAGGGAGTCTGTGGTTTGCCATGAGATTAGATTTCCTCTCTCGCTCGTGATAAATATAGAAGTTCTTCTCCATCTGTTACAGTCTGTGATTGTGTAAGTATATTATAATCATTAGCATGAAAAAGAAACGATCATACACCTCTTGACCAGTTATTATAATTTAATTCTTCCTAATGCAGTTGTTCACAAATTTTTTAGGCCACGGCCCCTTTTAAAATAAATCAAGTCTCGCGCCTCAAAAATAACTAACAATAAGCTACAAATAACAGATGTTGAGAAGAAAGTATATTCTCATTCTAAAAACACGTTTAAAATATGTGAATGGAACATAAATATCCAAAATAAGGCAGGCAAGATCAAAGCTAACGATTTTTTTTTCTAATAAACTTCACACCCCCTCATAAAATTGTCTACGCTCCCCTTGGGTGGGCCGTTTAGGAACCACTGTTCTAATGTATAGTTGGTGGAGGAAGTCTTAACTAAATATTAGTTATGTGAACTTTTCAATGGTAGCATCTTCAGCACCATTACTCTGATGCATGTATATTCTTGTTTTCTGTTATATTTTCTGCGATGTGCTTGTTACTATGGATATTCAAAATCAGATTAATTTAGTATTATGTTCTTTATATGGTCCAGATATCAATGATTTTTTGTGCAAACCCTCGCCAATGTTCAAAATCAGTAATTATCCAGTTAGAGTTTGGAATGCGGATTGCACTGGAAATATAATTTTTTTAATTATTCCTAACCTTAATTCCAACTATATACTTACTAATTTGTTAGTCTTAAACGTGGCGGAATGTTTTGTTCGAATCTCAAAATTTATGCATTCATGGCAGGGGCTTTGTACCAAACACCCCTGCACGTTTATACTGGCCAACTTTGATTTAAGATGATTCTGTATACCCTGCACCATAGGAAAAATGTATCTTGGTATAATCCTTGTATTCCAAAGGTTGTTTTATTTGAATTATAAACTATTTGGAACTGCAATTCGAACTTTAAGTTGAGAAATCTTTATTCAAAAAACTACGATAGTGCAGACTGCAAACTTCGGACTCATGAGCGACGGCTTTGGGACTGGTGAAAGTTTCCCTCCAACTCCATGATGTATCAGATGTTATTCAGGCTATTGCTTTACTTGAAAACTTTGGGCCAAACTCTTTTATTTAGTACATGTTCCTAACAACACTGTAAGGAGAGAAATGTATATTTTTGTATTTTACCGCTTGCTTGATTTTAGTGATTTGTTAATAAAATTATTTCTAGATAGCTCTACGTTTTACATAGACATGAAGTGGAATATAGATTCAAAGCAGTATAATTAAATGCGAGCCGTTGGACGTGAAATGGATGTGTATTTTTGCTTAAATATACAGTACAGAGAGTGTATAAGCATTCGTTTATTCCTGCTTCGTAATCAACACGAGGTTCAAAACATACACATTATTGAGATGGGAGGTTTTGCCGGCAAGAAGTGGTACATGTTGACGCGCATGTTAGAATATTGTGTATTGAAGACGAGTTCTTCCATCTTGTCTAATTTCTACTTCTGGGCCGAATGACGTCGTTAATGATGAGAATACTTGGACAAGAAGAGAACCTATAAATCATTTTTTTTAATTTATCCTTGAAAAAAATTGCTTTTCTCTCCGACTGAAGGACCAATTGCTTTGAAATTTTCAGGGGTTAAAGATTTTTGTTGTCAGAAAGCCATTACTTCTATTTATTTTGAAACTTTCCATGAGCTTTATGGAATTCGTTTTTCACTTTAAAGTCTGTCTGCGATGGCGTCGTCAAACTTCCCCAAAATGACTCTGATGACACCAAAAGGTCGTATGGTTGACTCCCAGTCTTATACCAAAGCATCTGTTTTTTTTATTATTTATATATTCATGCATGTATATATTCGTGCATGTGTGTTTCATGGTTTGACAAATAAAAATAAACTCTCTCTCTCTCAAATCCCTATTGAGAACAGAAAAGCACTTTAGCTTCGAGTAATCCAATTGAAGCAGGGTATTCCTCGCCCGTCTGATGGCTCTTTGATACAATCTCTAATAATTACGGTATCTATCTTTGGTAAAAAAAAATTGATTATATACCGGTACTCTAATCCGGCAAAACTGTGTGGTACTGACCGACAATAACAGTAGTTCCGTAAACAAAAAACTAAGAGATACTCTCGTTCTTCAAGTCCATGCCCCTGAAAACGAATAATTGGCAAACTAATCCCATACCCTACATGCAGGGGCGGGTTTCTGATAATGCTGCCCTTTATACCTACTTTTAAATTAATTTGGGTGATAAACAGATTATAGATGTTGTTGTACACGAGAATAAATTAAGTAAAGGTTAAGTAAGAAAGAAACGTTTTTTTTGTTTATTAAAGAGCTTGCGATTAAATAATTTTTTTTTTTAAAAGGGGTGGTCTGAGTCACAAACCGGATAGAAAAAAGGCATTTTTTTTTCTTGGGTGTTGAAACTTCAAACCGTGATAAAAAATAGAAATATTCGCAAAATCCTTTACTGTTACCGCTTCTTGGTTGGCAAACAATAGCATAATATTGCTGTAGCAATTTCGTTATCTAACTCAAAATACTTTGGTAAATGGAAGGGATAATATGTCTTCTATTACCACCCAAAAAACACCGAAATTTGCATAAATTTCAAAAACACTCCCTCGTTCCGCCGCAAATAAAATTCCCATGGTAAACGAAAGCGAGATTTACCGTCGCTTATGTTAATTTCGGAGAAGACTTCTTATCAATAAATTAAAACCCGGAAAAACTAGACCAACAGTTTGCGACCGATTGCTAAATAAAACAGTGGAGTACATCAACGTACCCGCCGCAATCTAGCGAGTTTTGTCGTGGGTACGTATACACGTGCCCACCGCACGGAAAGGGTTAAATAAGCTTTCCAACGAGCCGTCAGTGGGCAGCAGAGGATCATTACTTTTTCGTTAGTCGATAGATTAGTTGTGGGGGTACAAATGCATAAAGTCGGCGTAGCAAATACGATTATTTAATAAAAAATAAAAATCGCATGGAAAAGGTTAAAACGAGCATCAAAAATGTTGCGATTGTAAAACATAGAATTTTTTTTCTGGGGTTAAGGGTCGGAGAAACAACCCCTGTTGAATACCCATCACCACAGAACACATAATGTTAGCTTTTAATTAAATAAGAACACATCTAGAAGAGCATGTGTTATAACCCAATTTATACAGCTTGGTTCTGCTGCCTCCTTACAATGTGCTGCCTGGGGCGGTTGCCCCATTCGCCCCCCTCTAGGCCGTGGTTCGCCCTACAATAAAAAGCCGTCTTTATCGCCCTAGATTAATTAAGTAGAGTTCAAAAACGCGAAAACGAGGTAGTGTTTACAACCACGCTTGAAAATCTGTCTGAGTGAAAAAAGTGTCTGAGCGGATGCGAAAAGGGAGCATTGTTACGTCACTTTTTGCATTTTGCTGATTGGCCAATGTTACGAAGTAAACAAGGAAGTCGATGCTCGGGGAAAGGTCCATTCTTAATTAATTTTTAGTATTTGTGTCAAGAATCAGCTTCGCTACCACGCGGCTTCTGTTCTCCGATAAAATTGTGTAATTAACTTTTTTTTTGGATATTTTATATGAATGTTTTTTAGTGGTTGGAAATGACTAGTGGTTGACATCAAAATAAAAAATGCGCACCGTTTTATGGTTCAATGATCACATTCCAGCGATTTTCAGATCAGACTACCCGCATTGTGAGAGACTTGATGCTACTTCGTACCGGTACTGACTTTTGTGTCCATATATTTGAGCCAGTTGATTCGAGCATTGCTCTTCTGTTGACAATGATTGAGATCAGGGACTTGTTGGCCAAGAACTTGGCAATTGAAGGCGTATCGTATATTAAAAAGGCTAGCGATGTACCACTGGGCTATACGGAGAATAGTCTGACTGACTTTTTTGGAAACCCCATTCTTAGCGATGTGGCGATCGTGCGATTCGTTAGGAATACCGGTACGCTATTCGGAATACCGGTAACGGTACGCTCTTAGAATCACCATATTTGAAAAAAGCAAAATTCCAGACAGCGCATGACTATTTTCATGACCTCGTAGTAATAAATATGCGCACGGTACGAAATACCAATGTTCTGTAATAGCAGTGTGCACAGTACGATTGCAGATGCAGTGAAATGCCGGATTCCGGACATTTGAGCATTTTTAAAATTCTTCTTCCTTAAATTCAACCCTAAATTACGTTTGAACGATATGTCAACCCTAGCATAAATAATCTGACTGACTTTTTTGGAAACCCCATCATTGGCGATGTGACAATTGTGCGATTCCTTAGGAATACCGATTACGGTACCCTGCGAGGGTTCGAAAGTTGGAATTACACGCGGGGTTAATTATATGTAAGTGGAATACTGGACTTCTCGCTGTCGTAGGGTGGTTCACGTAACCGGTGGTCGGTGCGACTTCCTCCACCATCAATTCCTTGCATATCGGTATCAAAACAAATAACAACTGATCCGACATGATTCACTCGTCATATCGACTTTCATCTCCCCTGGGATATGTATGTAAATCTTATCCTATCTTGTGAATTCTAGGGTAATCAGCGGGAGCAAATGCTGAAGCATAGATAGCCGATACCTACCCGGCGTTACTAGTAGTTATAAACTTATAATATAATGGATATAATTCCCGACTGCCGTCTCAGTCGGATGTGTTTTTGTTGCTCTGTTAAATGAAAAATCAATCAATGCTGTTTGACTGAGAATGCTACGCACTGTGTGTTTTGGTATTTACTGTTGGATTTGTATCGCGTTATATCAACATAAGCAAAGCCCATCCACCGGAATTAAATAAGTTTATGAATAAAAGATTGGATTCAAAGTTAAATGGTGGACGATCTGTTATGGGTGTTTTGCGAGGTTTCGATTTTTTCATGAATCTGGTTGCGGAGGATGGAACAGAGCACAGAAAAGACGGGACCACTGTACCTGTTGGAATGGTGGTCGTTCGTGGAAATTCGATATTAATGTTGGAAGCATTGGAACTGATACAATGATTTTAAATTGAACTACTCAAAAACGACAAAAGGACCCGATACACCAATCCATGATTGTGCATATACTGTAATGAAACATTCAATCGATTTACCGAGCTTCTTTTTTTAGTAACAATTTTTTGTCACTGTGTTATTTTTGCAATGAAATTGAACTACAGCATCATCATTTTACGTCAACAAGTGTTTTTTATTTCATATTTTCATAGGAAAAGCACTGTTGTGATACACTTATCATAGCCATGCATTCCATCCTATTAATTCTAGATTTTTTTTGTGTGTGTCTACCAGGGATGGACAAAACCGAATAGTTCACTATTTCGAATACATTCGAAATTATTTTTTATACTTCGAAAATAAAATTCATTAATTAAAGCTTATCTAAATGTATGTAGGAATTTCCATACAATAAGCAATGGAATAACTGCTATCCACAAGTTATAACCTAGCTATATTACCAGGCATTTCATATTTGCAAAATATTGCAGTATATATTTTATATACCATAGGTCATGTTAACAGAATTAAATTAATACGGCAATAGTGGTATCGATGATGGATTTGAATATTTGCGCAACATAAAATCATCCTAGTAAAACGCCCATACTTTTAAATACCAACCATTATCCAAATTATTTGCCAAAAAGGGGGATAAAGTATGAGTTATTTTTCCGACTTGTGACAATTTTTTCGTGAGTACAAAAATACGAATCAAAAATTAATTATATTCGGGAACTTTACCACACATTTTAAGTCCGAAGATCGCCGTTGTATGTTTGAGTAATATCACTTTTATTATTTTATAAATATTAAAATAGGAATCAAAAACTATTTATAAGCGGGTAGTTTACCACACATTCTAAGTCCACAGATCGCCGTTGTATTTTGTAAATACGAAAATAGGAATCAAAAATTAATATTAATCGCGAGTTTGCTACACAATTTATGTCCACAGATTGCCGTGATATTGTGCCAAATATAATTAGTTTTTGATTCTCATGTTCGTACTCACGAAAAATTGACACAAGTCGGAAAAATAATTCATATTTTATCCCGCTCTTGGGAACTAATTTGGATAATGGTTGCCATTGGTTTGTATTTAAAAGTATGGACCTTTTACTAGGATGATTTTGTGCTGCGCAAAATATTCGAATCCATGACCGATACCACTATTTAAAATGCCTTACCGTGTTAATTTAATTCTATT